CCATGAGCAAATGACACAGTCCCCCAAATTCACTGTCATGAGGAAGAGGAGGAACTGCAATACGACCCTGCGTATGAGGCCGATATGGAAAGAAAGCTAAATACTGTTATGTGCTTATATCAATCATAAATATGTGTTGTCACACTTGCCAAATAAAGGTAAAATTATCAAAAAATTTATTGCAGGTAAAATTATGTGGAGCAAGAGAAAAAGAAAAACAGCAAAGCATAAGCAGGTAGGAGGTAGGAGTGGAGACTGTTACTCCCTCCACCTGCCTCCCTATCCACCAAGCAGAAACAGGAAGCAGTCCTAAAGGTACAGAGGAACAGAGAGAAAGGAGAAGTGGGGCCCAAGGCAGACTGTAGGTCACCCCATCACAGGCACAGTGGGGAATACAGTGTCTGGTCTGGTGGGGGTGGAGATCCCATAACCACTCACTTGTACTATACTCAGAGACTCACTGATGCATAAAAAGATAGCTTATTATTAGAGGTGTCCTGAACTTCAAATAATGTAATTACATCAGCTTTAATGAACTTTCTAGGATGGAATTCTAAGAATGAGACACAGATTTGTAGTGTGTAGTGTTATGGACTTAAGAAATTCACTCATATGGATTGAGCGCATCTCTGCATCATTTTGCAGACACATATACAGGCCTTCTAAGTAGAAACAGGCTAAGAAAGAGTAGCTAATTACATGCAAGTCAGCAGCACTGGATTTCCGTCCATGCTCTCTGTAGCACCTCCAGTGAGATGACAGCAAGTTGGCAAGCCCTGCAGCTGGAGGCTCCTCTCTCTCACACTCTCTCTCTCTCTTCTTCATTCCTATATCCTCCCAGGATTCCCTCTGTTAGATTACACACTTGGATGTTCAAAAACTTCTTTGTCAAAAATCCACCCAAGCTGTTGTGGGATTGGAGCGTGAATGTGACAGCGCAGATGCACAGTATATAGGTTTGGATGTTGCAATGTTGGTGTTTGCTTCTGACACTGCTCAAAATGCAAGAAAGCATCCAGTGACAAGTTAATCCACTGCAGTTGTACCTATGCCAGGGCTGAGCATATTAACACTGGTTTAGGATATGTTATGCATGTGGGATTCATCGGTAAAGAAAGTGGGGATTTACTGTTTTGATGACTCATGATGAGTCACCTTGTCCATATAGACCAAACACGTGAAAGCAAACTGATATAGTCAGTGGAAGAAAACTTTACTATTAGACTAAAAGGTCAAGGCTTACTCTTATCAAACCAATAAGAATCCTACAAACACAACAAAGTGGTGCATCCACTTCATTGTCAGCTGTCAGTAGTGGAGCCCAGTTTGTGATTATATCCCTACAATGGATTGCGAGGAAGAGGCCATGCTTGAAACAGAACCTGCACACAGGCCATCAATGCAAAGGCCCTTTTTGATGTATTGTATGCTTTCAGTTAGTGTGGCCTGTAATCAGGGTTACCTCACATTATGGTGAGACAGTCCACCAGCCATTCAGTCAGTCAGTCAGTCAGTCAGTCAGTCAGTCAGTCATGTCTCTCACATAAAACAGCCTCTTCTGCTCATGCTCAGTCATGACAAGCCTTTGACATCACTGTCAGACTAAGAGTGACTAAAACTGACAATCCCCTTTACCTCAGAGAAAGAGAAATAGGAAAAAACACTCAGCTATTGAGGAGGAGGGGGGCCCTGAGATAGGAGAGGAGGCAGAAAAGGCCTGGGTGATTCACAGAGCATGCACAGCAGTGGCTGAGGTAGCTGTGTCTTCAAGTACATGAGTCATGTTTACCATGCAGCTGCACTAGGTAGGGATTGCACAAGTTTCATTTCATTAAGAATGTTGCATTAGTGATAACATTTACCACATGATTGAAAACTTAGCTCTAATTCCTCAAAAAAAAGATGCCAGTGATGGTGGAAAAAAAGCCTTTTAATCTCACTGGTCATGCTTGGACGCTGCATCAACAGCAAGCCTGCCAGAGATGTCTTGTAGAAATTTGGATGAACTTACTTAAAGTCGTATATCTCTGCTGCTCTCTTATTAAATGTTCAGAACACAGTGCAGGCTGGTTTGTGAACATGAAAGCATTTGCATCCTTTCACTGAGAAATGAAAAATACAAGAAACTTAAGATCAAAATGTTTAAGGCCACCACCCCGAAATCCCTCTTTTCTCTTTTGCCTGACTTGGCTAAGAAGGTCAAACACAAATTTAAATCAACAATACATCAACTAAGTGTGTTTTTATGAACAGTGCAAGATGATAGAGTGTTCTAACCCACTATAAAGCAGAGTTATGGCTCACACAGTAAAGGTTAAAGTGATGATGGCGGAAACAGTGCGGTCCACCTTAAAAACTCAAACCCTCCAGTGGACAGCGCCGTGGTGCTGAAACAGCTCCCAGCGACATCTGTACATAAGGGGAGCGGGGGGAGGGCAGGATCTGCAGAGACTTTAATGCTGAAATCACACACACCCCGCGTGCGCCATCCCCACAAAGGACACCTTAAATGATCTTTCCACTGTCATATTGTGTAATCTCGGTGACGTTCGTGGGGAAAGGTTAAGCAATTTGGCGTGCTTTAAACGTGAAAATGGCGCCCGTTGCTGCTAACCCAGCCCATTATAGTACAGCTCCAGCTTCTACAAAGTGGGGGAATGAGGTTGGAGAGTATGCCGCATTATAAAATGATGTTCAGTCATTCAGAAAAAGTATTTCATAAATGGGGGTCAAGAGCTGATAAACAAGGAAGGGGAAGATTGAACTACCGGTCGGCTACTAGTCGACTGTTAGAGCTATAGCTTGGATGTCAAGAGGCAACATGATCCTCCAGTTCCTCACAATGATATAAATTCACACTGCAATAACAAGCAACAAACACCCGGGGTTATCACAAAAGCACCAACAGCTCCCACTAGCCGCAAAATCTTACTTTAACATCGACTGTTCCTTCGCGTCCTCCTTCTTCTGTCGGTCCATGACACCGAGGATGATCTTCCTCTCATCCTCGGTGAGGTGGCTGAGGTCCGGCATCTCCGGCATGGCGCCGGCCGCTGAGGCAGCAGCAGCAGCAGCAGGGCCAGGGCCGCCCCGGGGCCCGTGTGGAGCAGACATCTTTACACACAGTGGCTACAAAACGAGAAAAGCACCGTCAACCAGCAGCATTCTGGCCGATGTTTCAGCTACATTTCATGCCGTTAGAAAATCAAATTTGCGGTGGGGCACGCTGCAGGCACTGTGGCTCATAAACGGCATGACATTTTGGTTTAGAGTTGCCTATAATGCACACTTTCCACCGTGCTGCAGAAATAAGCGTCAACATATTCATTACAGGCTTTAATCTTATCTGTTAACGATTATAGAAGGGTAATCACATTTGCGTGAGCCGAATGAGCTCTGGCTGCAAACAGGAAATTCGAAATATTCACGTTAAATTCACACATGAAAATGCCTGAAATAGATTAGAGTCAGGATTAGAAAAATATGCACTTAAGTGAACAGGCTGTAGGCTACAACCTTTGGGTATTCCAATCACAGGCTTCCATCCAAGCAGGGAAATTAAAGAAAGTAGAAAAAAACTGAGGATTAGAAAAATAAACTCTTGCCTTTTATTTTGCAGTCATGTTAGATCATGTCTAACCCATCGCTGGCATCCTTTAGAGAGGCTTCACTCGCATGATGAAATAAAAGGCACCCGGTCAGTCCTGGTTTGTTTTTGTCCGGAGTCCTTAGCCCTCCTCTGTCACTGTGGTTAGCTCGCTTTCCTCCAGGTTGGTAATTCTTGGAGATTTCTTAAATGCACAAAAATGGATGCAATGACAGACAGAGAGAGAGAGAGAGAGAGAGAGAGAGAGAGAGAGAGAGAGAGAGAGAGCGAGAGCGAGAGAGAGAGAGAGAGAGAGAGAGGGAGAGGGAGGGTTATTGAAATAGAGAGAGCGAGAGAGTGAGGGAGAGACAGGAGGGGGAAAATCCAGATAGGAGGAAGGGGCGGGGCGATGGATACGTAGAGGAATAAAGCCGAAAGGACGCGCTGGATGTTCATTGACAGCAGGCAGAAAGCGGCTGCAAAAACAAAACTTGAGGCCGGAGTTTACACTGGAAGAGCAAGTTTCATATTTCGTTACCTCACAACTAGATCATGAGCTCCATGAGCGGGTCAAATGGAAGTACTAAAATAAATACAGAATATGACTATGGTGATTAGTGACCAAGTCATTACGTGAAGTTGAAGTGTGGCAGTGGTTCCGCTTCACTCTGTTATAATGAGGTGTACAGTATGACAAAGTATGCTACACTTCATTGATTTGAAATGTATTTCGAAAATGTAAAAAAAAGCTTTAATGCCAGTTGATATAGGGACAAATATATCTTGGATGGAAGGGAGAAATACTGATGGTTACTAGATGCCTGTCAGCTGTACTCCTCTATGACAACATATTTATTATACTTGACAGTCAACGTTTAAAAATAAAGTTGAGAGGAAAAAAAACACGCTCTAGCTTCAGCTTCTTTAATTGTATTAAGCCCCTATTTGAAATATTCTGTTAAAAATTGGGCTCATTTCAACATGGGCCAATGAGACTGGAATGAGAAAAAGAAAAAGAGAAAACACTCAGATTAATCTTCCCATGAAAAAATGTTTACCTGCACGCAAAAGTGGTTGATTGTAATATATTTCTAAAAATAAATCAAAATAAATACTATTGAGGAGACTTCAAATCTAGATTGTATCTCTCTGCAATGACCCCTGAAATAGTCCTTCCTTTTGATCCCAGAGCCTTTCCCAAAGCCATCTCTCTCTCTCTCTAAGACGACAGTGTTGATTGGATTTGAAGGACAACATTAAGAGGATACAGCCTTAGCCTCATTAGGGCTTTAAGTAAATTAGCACCATTTCAGTGATCTAATGTAACACAACAAATAAGAGCAAAACTGGTGTTGACTTAGTACTTTAGGAATTCGGATCATGTTTACTTTCTAATTACATGTTTTCAGAGAAATAACTTAGTCAAGAACTTTATTACAAATAGACATTAGCAAACAGTATGTAACTCCAATGTACTTATATTTCCTGTGAAAATGTGTTCTGAACATATTTTTTGATCTTAAAAACAGGCATCAACATAACTGGTGTCAACTGGAACATCTAAAACTGTCCATTGAAGAAAAAAAAAGTTTCCTCTAGCTATTGACCGAAGGATAGGGCATCAGTATACTTTGGGGAAAAATGGTTGTCAGATAATGTAACCTTACCAATTCTTAGAATTTACTGAGAAATTAGAAAATCCTGCCCACTTTATGGATCAAGCTGCCAAGTAGATGGCAGGTGGTTTTAGCCATCTTCTTAAGCTATTAAGACCGTGCACATGTTCCATAAAGAGCAGCACCATGAGACAATGGATCATGGAGAGACCATCCAAGGTGTAAATAAGCCTTTTTATATGATTGATGTCATCAATGTGACATGCAGAAAGAAAAGACTTGTTATAGACGATCAGGGACACAAGCAGAAAAAGGCTATGACACATAATAAATGACATAACCTTTTTGTCATGTGAAGCCTACTTCAGCTTCATACCATCCCTGATAGTTTTGATACAGAACTGAGGCAGGATTCCTAAACTGCTAAATTAAAATTTACAATAAGACAAAGAACAGTAACTGTAAGCCTGTACCAAGTCATACAGCTCTGATTTTACACTGGATCACTTGATTGGCCCCTTTCACATATAGGACCAAAATGAGTGAAAAAAGGGAAAGCTTTAAAATATCTGTTGTTCATGTATTCACAGCCTTAGTCTCAAACTTCAAATGATCCATAACAAGTCACTTGTCTTTTCCATATCATACAACTCCAAAATGTTATATCCTTAAGAAGGCGCAGTCTGAAAAGTGTCCCGTGTGTGATCGTGGGACTCCATCTCCTCTCTGGATTGCACCCCTCTGTCTTCTGTTGTTGTTGTTGTTTCTGCCTCTTATTTGACCACAGTCACAACATGCTTCTCTTTCTCAGACACCACAGGGACACTTCCGGGTTTGCTATGCTTTCGAACGTTCCTCTCCCTGGAAAACAAAAAGAGGAAGTGAATAAATCAAATCTACTGCTTGGAATATTCAGGACAGGATGGAGAGGGAGGGAGTGATCAGCCAACAGAAATGTAGAAGAGAATGAATATGAGATTGTTGACCTAACACCTACGTCACAGACTACATCAATGTACCCTGAAAACAATGCCTTAGTCATGGGAAGTTAATCATTCAAAGTCTAAACACAGGTATGTTGTGTCGGTAGAAAAAAAAACAGCAGTTGAATCACAGGATGGCAGAATTAAGTGGGACGATCAATCCACTATACAGCTGTAAACAAGGATGCAAGGAGAGACCATGACATAGGGGGTGGCTCCATCTGTGAGGATTTCCATGAGGCTGGTATGACTACGTAGGTCAGACCTAGCCTTGCAGCAGTATAAGTGAACACCTCCTCAACATGGACACAAATGGGAAGCCATGACATTCCAAAAGATAAACTATCTAGCATAATCACAATTTGAAGGAAGGAAAACATACTTCCTGCGGCGAGCCTCTTTCATAACCCTCAGCTCCTTGCTCTGATGATAGATGCTCTTGGGTAGATGTCGGTGATGAGCTATGCGCCGGATCTGCGGGTGGTAGTGGAACTTCTCCTTCAGCTTTTGATTGTAGTTGCTGGCCTGCCTCTCTCTTGGGGCCAGCTACATGACACGGGGGGGGGGGGTTCGTTAGATACCATTTTGTAGAAATAAAAAGTAATATCTCACAAACAAAAAAAATCCAACTTTGCCTCTCTGAAACACCTACTGTATCAAAAAAATGATTTTTGTCATTTGTAGCATCTAGAGTTCCCATAGTGATGCGTTATCGGAGATTTCTTCTAAAGGTGCTGATTCAAGTTGGGATGAGCATTTCCAGAAGACGTTCAATTTGAGTTTAAAGGGGTGTACAGTGGGGGTAATGTTTGATACCTGATAGTTACAGTATGCTGTTTTAGATCATAAAATACTGGCTTACAGTAAGCAGTAATTTCAGCTTGACACAAGCTCATTCAAAAGAGAATCAATGCCTGTTAAAAAGTGAAGACACCAGCTCAACGGCATCCCTCGGTCTCACTCATAAAACCCTGCAGCTACTTAGCCTGGTATTGGCTGAGGCAGCCCTCCTTGAAGGCTTTTATTCTGATTAAAAGCAATGATTAGTCTCAGATTTCTTGGAGAAGAGCTGCTAGACACTGTTGGACTGAACTAATTCCCCTGGATACATACTGTACATGGTTAGCTTGCTTTACAATATGAAGTTTATACATTAAATGGATAGAAGATTGCAGAATGTGATTTTGTTTCGATAGCTGGGCTCATATGATCTAAACTTGTCATACAACAACAATCACAAAAATCTGATTCCATGTGTTTTAAGATAGAACAGAGTCATCACATCTGGTGGCACTCTGGTAACTCAATGCACCTATACTAATGTGTCATTAAAAAACCTTAATAGGCTACAGCAAGGTCTAAGTTTTAACTGGAGCCCAGCGGACCTTTCATTACACTAGATGAAGTAACCTACAGTCCATTGCACTGATGCCAAAATATCTACCAGTTTAAGAATACTTAAAACTACAACCTACATGTCCTATCAGAAGTACTTTTCTAGTTTGGTGTGGGAATAGAAGAGCAGCTCTGCATGAATCAAAATGATGCCACTGACCTTTTTCTAATAGCTAAGAAACTTTGCAACTATCTGATACTAACAAATGGTTTTCACTGAGATCTGCTGAGACCTGTGAAAAGTCTGACAAAGCAAAAAGTACAAGCAATCAGAGTTTTGCAACAAGCAAATCCAAAAGTTAGGGCATGTTGATTATATTTTCTCATAAAAGGAAAACACAAAAGAGCTCAACTACAATATTTAGCTGGACAGAAAAAAATAAAGGAAAGTTCAACCTGGAAGTCAGTCTGTCAACTGCGATGAATATTGGATTTTACAGAGGTCATTTGCCCTCTAAATCCGTTTGTCCCTCGGTCCTTTGGTGCATTTTATCCCAACTTTCCCTTCACCAATTTTGCTGTGTAACTTCAGCTGTTCTTCAGCTGTTCTTTCCAATTAAAAATATTTAATTAAAAAACAGTACATTGTTAAGTCTTGGAAGAAAAAAAATGGATGCCCTTCTATCCTAAATCAATACAGCTGTCTACTCCAGCAGCATGAGCGCTCAGCTTCTCTCACACACAAGCATCTTTTCAGGTTTTTTTATTTATTTTCTTCAGGTTTACATGTGTAAGTACAATGACTGTGTATTGGATTCTCTCATGTTGACCACACAGCACTACTGTGACTGAACACTTTCAGTGTACACACTGACAGCGCATTGATGACATTACTGTTGGCAGCTTCAGCTCGTGTACATAAGTTAACCTTGCTGACTTCTTTAAAAACAGTCCGTGTTCTTTTGTCAGTGACCATATAGGTAAAAGTAATGTCATTAAAATGTACATATACAATATGTAAACAAAATCAATCTGTATTGTTAATAATATAAAACTATTATTTTATGCATTATGAGCCTTGATAAAGTCTAAAAGTGCGGCCTCTTCTTTGACCAAAGGAAAGAAGGTTAGCTAGCCCGAGACTTAAATTAAAAAAGTGGATGTGGCGGCCGAGACAGGCCCAAAATCTTTTGGTGAACTAGTGTTATTGGGTCTTGAATTGGCTTTTTCGTTGGATTTTGGTTTTTTTCCAAAAAGGTGCTGGTTCAGTCTATATATTTGAAAATTAAAATTATTATTTACACTGAAAGCAAAGCCTGCTGCATGCAAAGTAAGTCCAAAAAATAAATAGTGATGTGCGGCAGCTGATAGAGGAGTCCTGATTAATCCAACGTGATGCCTTCAGACAGACACAAAGGCCTTGATTCAGCATTTCAGCATTTCTTGATAATTAAAGATCCTTTCAGTACGACTTGATTGTTAATGCTTCATTATGTTCAGAGTAGCTTGCTTTAAGTTATTGGCCGATTTAAACTGCTGATAGGAGCAGCCCTTGTCTGATCTCTTTAAGTGCAAAGCTTGCGAATAAATCGTCTCTTATACAGTGACAGTAAAACAAGTGCCAAAAGCAGGCCAATTTTCCACGCTGAAGCTGCATTAAGAGAATAAGCAAAAGTGAATCCGATTAGGAATTAAAGATGGATGTTGGAGATGGCACATGAGTGTCTCTTGATCTTGCCATTTTGGGCATTGGAACATCTCCCAACCTTTATGGGAGATTTATGGGACAGTTGATCTTAAAAACATGGAGGCAATTATTTTCTGCTGTTTACAGTTTAACTATTAAAATACATATGATGCTTGCTAAACAAGATGTAAAAAGTAAGAGAAGACTACTCCAGAAACAGAAAATGTCACTTGTTTCTTTTGCCGTTGTTTTCTAGAAAACTGCACAAGCTGAAAGTTTTTTTTTTTTTTTTTGTTACTTCCACCTGCCACAAGAGCCCCTGTGCCAATTGGTACTTATTGAGAGTGATTCTACCCTAAGTCAGCATCCATCAGGGAATTTGGCAACAGCAGTACCGATGCTTCTGGCATAGGAACACACTCTTACCCTGCTGAGGTTGGCTCAGGGCCATGGCAGTGTCGAAGGATGCAGCTAACTCAAAACAAGATCAGGTAGGACACTGGAGAGAAATACCGTATGAAGTATGTTTGACAGCTGAGGAAAAAAACAGACCAACACTAACTGCTGCCAATGAGCAACACGCTTCCTTAAATGTACTTTAGGTTTTGGTGGATTTTAAAAGTGAAAGCAAGAACAATAGGAAAGTCGAGGCAAGACTCACCACTCCAAGCTTCTCAGCTGCGTTGGCTTTCCATAGTCGGATGTTCATTTCGTCAGAACCGCTCAGGATATATTTATTGTCTGCTGACCACTTCACGCAGATGACATGCTGCATACGTTTGGTGTGGTAAACTTCCCTGAATTTAAAAACAAAGAAAAATGATTAAAAAATGTATCCTGTACAACGCGCATGAGCTGATAAGGAAAAGCAAAATGTACACAGAATGAAGTTTTACAATTCACAGGACTACAAACATCCATACTCATCAGGAATACCATCATGGACTGGTACTAAAACCCAGTAAATAGCTGGCCACTGGTAAAATTCTTACTTTCTACTATTTTTACAGCAAACCCCAAACTGTTGGGGGGGGAACCTACCAGATGTAGGTGTGTAGATGACCCAGGAGAGTTCACCTCCCAGAAAACACACACGTGTGTTATTGAAATGTGGTTGAAGTTATTAGCACAATATATTTTATTATTATTTTAAAAAATAATAACATGTTAGAAATGTGTTCATGGTGTTCTTGAAGATGAAAAAGAACAGAAATCACTTCCTAAGCCTGCTAACCAGTAATGCAATTACAGTACATAGAATAAATTAACATTTTCTTTCCATTTTGGTATTCTGGGTCACACTAACCTGCTATGGCCAACATCCTTGGGGAATATACGGACGGTTTTGTCAAAACTTGCAGATACAAACTCTTTCCCAGTGGGGGAATAATCAACATCCAGCACTGCAGAGACATGGTCCATGTGAACTATGATTGGCTTGTTCAGGTACCTCATGTCATATGTGTAGAGGCTGATGAGGAGAGAAACATGCACTTTAGTTAGAAACACAGAAGTAAAACACCATGTCAATCACCCATCATTTAACATGTTTACATGTAAGATTCCTTCAGTTGAGTGCAACCTCTTGTGACTGACTTGATTTTGACTAAACCTTCAACATTCTCAACTCACTTGTAGTCCTCATTTGAACTTGTGAAGTAATACGCTTCCATAGGGTTCCAGCATAAAGAGTTACTCCTCATTGTCATAATAACCTATAAAAGAAAAGAAAACACATTTATTACAAACTGGTTCAAATTAAAGAATTGGGCAGAACAAGGTAAATTCTTCAGCCTCTGCATGGTAGAGCTTACCTTTTTAAGCGGTGCTGATTCTCTCATGTCATACAGTACGATACTTCTGTCAGAGGCACAGCTGGCAAGAAGTTCAGTCTGTGCAAATAAATCGAACACAAGGTGATAATTAGGTGTAACAATAAACAACTCGTTATGAGTGTTTCTATGGACAGAAACTATAGGCCAAGTGTTCTTCCCCGTGTGGTCTGAGTACTGAGGATACATGGTGTCTTACCTCAACAGGGTTGAAGCGGACTGAGCTGAAGCTGTCAACACCCCAGGTGAAAGAGCGGATTGGGCTGCTTCTCTGCTCATCCCAGATGTCCACCTGCTGGCCACATGTTGCAAACACAGCATCCTTCTGGTGATGGTCCAACCCTGTAAAGACCGTCTGTAAAGGACAACAATCACTTACAGTGAAATCAAACTCAGATTTTCAACAGACACTTCAGAGGAAAGATATTAAAGCAGGAATAATAATACTTCTGTAAATATCCTGTGACTGTACCTTGCCCAGGATAGTATTAAGTGGCTCTTCTTCCTCTCCATATCCTGGTGTTTCCATTTTCCATTGCTTGATCGTTTTGTCATCACCAACCTTTTAGGTCAGAATGCAGAACATAAATCAGAAGCTGTGTAAGATGTTCACTAAAATGCTAATACTTCTTTAATAAAAACATTCTTAGAAAGTGAAGGGCTGCAGTCACCGTAAAGAAGGACGTTCCACAGAAGCGGACAATCATTCCCCGGACAAAACCTTCATGTGCTTGGAGTGTGCGGACACATTCATGTTTGGTCAGATTCCATACTTTCACCTTGCAAACAAGTAAAACATCCAATTAGTTCACATTTTGATGCTATCACATGTTACTGTTTAAGGTGATCTAAAGATAAGTTACCTCCCCATCGCAGGAGCCGGACAGCAGGGTGGACAGACTGTTTGTGTGTTTGGCCATGCAGTTCACACCATCTCTGTGTCCATCCAGAGAGGCAACGAAAGGCTTTGCAAACACTCTGTCGAGCTTGGTAGCATTCAGAGCCCGGGTGTACTCTCTGCTCACCTCAAACGGATGAAGTGCTGGATCATAGTTTCTCGGGACTAACAGGAGAGAGTAATCAATTCTTAGTGAACTGTAAGAACATTTCACTTATTATTGACAACACACATTTAAAGATATGTAGTTTTCGGCATTACCTATCGTTGAAATTCTTTGCAACATGTTTTTTTTATTAATTTTATATGACATGGCCTTCTGAACTATGCCACTTTCTGAAGACTGATTCCCAACTTCATCAGTGGCCTGAAATTAATGCTAAAACTTAAATTGTTTGCATGAATCCTCTTTACGCTATGTATTTGGTATCCAAACTAACAGACATGGTTTGAATTTAATGAACTTCCAAACAAATGAGCAGTCAAAATTAAGAAAATTAAAGTGTTTGTGGCAGAGAAATGTGGCTCGCATTCTAACTAACAAACCGTGTTAAACCTTTACGAACTTTAAACTTAACTACTACTCACCACGCTGAATATCCAATTTGGTTTCCCGGACATAATCATCCGGGTTCCTTGAGAGGACTTTAACTTTCATTTTGAAGGGCCTGGTAATGGACCACCGCTTCAAAATTCAGGTTAAAATAGAAAATATCAAATATAGCAAGGACTGGCCATGTGTTGAGGAAGAATGGTCAATTTACAACGCATTGCATTGTGGGATGTCTAGTCCTCCTGGTTGCGTCACTGTTTCCAGCGTAACGAAACAGCTGTCACGTACAAAGTTCCGTTACAGATAGACCGGAAGTATAAGATTTGGTCTTCAACTTAAAACATGTGTCATCCTTGTCGAACTATACACTTGCATCTAGACAAATGTAGCTGAAAGCATTATGATAAAATGCTACGATGAAAACGAATACATTTATATGTAGAATTAACTTTTATATTTAGGAAAGATGTATTTTTTGCGCAATCGCTTTATTTCGTCTCAAAGAGTTGTACTTTGAAGGATAAGGCCGGAATCACTGCTTTTTAATGTGTAAAAATTACGTTAGCAGCAAGGTCGAGCACAGGCACTGCTGCTTGACATTATGGATAACGTTACTACAGTCATGGAGTTCAACATGCGGTCAACAGCGTGGTTTAGTTGAATTGAAAATGAGGAGATTTCAAGAAGTTAGTTACGTCTGTATGCCCTGTTTCAAAATGTCTTCAGTCAGATTGTAGCCTTAACTAACCTTACAGAGAGCTCGGGTTTTAAAGACGACTAGCTGACAGCAGCTAGCTGAGGCAGTTACCTATAAACATGAGCTCTGCTCCGAATCACGGAAGAGTTTCAGAGACAGGGCTGTCCAGCACTCCCCCTCCTGCTCTCTCTTTAGGAGGACATGTTCAGCAGGTCTTCAGTCATGTGAAGATAGGAAACCTGGTCGCAGGACTCAGTGGAGGAGTTGTGTCAACACTGGTGCTGCACCCTCTGGATCTGGTCAAAATCAGATTTGCAGGTAAAGTATGATGATGTTGTCATTTTTTTATGTAACCAAGTCATTTAAGTTACATGAAACACAAGTTTGTGGTCAGCTAAGAGCTATTTAGGTGTGAATCACTAGTTTAATTTTCTAATCAGACCATATGTTCAGAACGTATGTGAGAACATTGGTATTTTATCATTTATTTGATAACATTAAGAAGTGTTTGATGTTTTATTTTTTATTCGTGTAAAATGAATAACCAAATGCCATGTTTGTCCTTACAATGCAGTGAGTGATGGGTTAATGTTAAGACCTAAGTACAGTGGCATAATGCACTGTATGAAGAGTGTTTGGCAGCAGGAGGGACTAAGAGGACTCTACCAAGGAGTGACACCTAATGTGTGGGGGGCTGGAGCATCATGGGGTCTCTACTTCTTGTTGTACGTAAGCAACACCTTGTCACTTTATTTTATCATGCATGTATCTTGACATTTAATGCTTTGACTTTAAAACACATCCTACATCCCTCACAGCTACAATGCAATCAAAGGCTACATAAAGGAGGGTCGTCAAACAGAATTAAGCGCCACAGAGCACCTGGTGTCCGCAGCCCAAGCAGGTAAGTCCTGCATGCATCTGGAAACTGTTGCCCTGCTGACACATTATTACTGCCCCGAGCTGGCCCGAGCAGACAGGAGGCAGATAACCCTTCTGTCCACTCTGCTCTCACATGGTAACATGGATCTGCTTCCTGCTGGCAAAATTAAATTAGGTTGTTTGTTTCGTAGCTAGTATCAACAGCAGAAGAAAAAAGTCTGTAGGTTTTTTAGTAGGCACACTTGACCAGTGTTGGGAAGGAGCCAGTTTTAGATAGACAGACAGATAAACTTATTGTCTGTCCCAACAGTAACATAAATTGTCCTTTGACAAGGCTCAAACAATAAACACAACTTACATTAGAAACACAAAGTGCAGTACAGACATTTAAAGTCTATTGGCCTTTGTTCAGAATTGTTTTACCAGAGGGAATGAAGGATTTTTTGTCTGGATTTTTTAGTGTCTGCCTGATGGCAGTAACTGGACGGAGTGGTGGAGGGGGTGAACATTTTGAAATGTTCTGAGGTGCTGTATATGGTTTAAATATTGCGTCTTGGTAAGCTTTGTGAGTACACAGAAGTCACTGTCGTATCCCAAGAGCGGAGATGAGGAGTGGTAGTTGTTGCCTGCCTTGTGTTTTAATTGAATATGACTGTTGATTTGCGTCAGTTTCAGTTTTGTCTGAGACCATTGTTTTAACTTAGACAGCTTTAATTCAAACACTCCTCTCTTTTATTTGGTTTTGGGGTAACTGAACCACTTCATCCTAGCTGGCAGGGCATGGATCTGAAGCTTTAGCCACATGAATGTCAAAAAGTACACATTTCCAATGAACTGGCTGTGAATGTTAGCAAATATTTATCTAACAAAGTGGCCAACCTGTTTCACCTAGGCATCATAACACTCAGCATAACAAACCCAATCTGGGTGACCAAGACTCGGCTGGTGCTGCAGTACAATGCTGACCCATCCGGTAAACAGTACAAAGGAATGCTAGATGCTCTGGTCAAGATCTACCGCCATGAGGGGGTGCCTGGACTATACAAGGTAAGACCTTAGTGTGTCTTTTTTTATTTTACTTGAAAATTATTTTTTAGTTTCAAACAACAGGGCTGCTTAGTGGAGGAATTAAAACAACAGACATTGACTATTATTTCATTAGGCTACAGATTTTGTGTTGGTTCAACAATTACCACTAGAGGGCATCGTCAGCTCATATTTGCTGTTGTGGATAACTTCATCCTATGAATAGTAAAAACATTCATAATTAAATGTTCATTCAGAAAACACTCAGAATGTTGAAGCATCATTTAGCTTTTAAGAGAATTGTGTAAGCATGCCTTTAACTTACAAATAACTTTTTAAAAACATGAATCAAAGTTTTGGATAAGGCAGATAGCTACATACACAGTTTAGTGGGCAACTTCTAGATAACACATAACGTGTATCTGAGTGTTTACTGAACAATAGACTTAAAAAGCTCTTCTTTTAAAGGGCTATGTTCCTGGTCTGTTTGGCACCTCCCATGGAGCATTGCAGTTCATGGCCTACGAAGAGCTTAAGAGAGACTACAACAAATACAGGAAAGTGCCTTCAGATGCAAAGCTGGTGAGTCATGAGCCACAAACAGTCTGGAAATATGTTTGGTGTTAAATAAAACTCTTTGCAGTTTAATAAGAGTGAGCCCTTTGATAAGTAGCTGAAAAGTGACTCATCAGTTTTCCCACTCTGCTCCCCCCCCCCCACTCCAACTGTTTATCTATGTACACAGAATGCTTTGGAATATGTCACAATGGCAGCATTATCCAAAATATTTGCTGTGGCCACAACGTACCCATATCAGGTGGTGCGAGCTCGCCTGCAAGACCAGCACAATAGATACAATGGAGTTATGGATGTAATCGGACGGACATGGAGGTATGATACTAGTTCAGACTTACTTTTATATGGCTGTTAAAACAGTTTTTGTCCTTTTTAAGTCATGGTCTTTTTTTCCACCCGTCTCTGCAGGAATGAAGGCGCCATTGGTTTCTATAAAGGCATCATCCCAAACTTGATTCGTGTCACACCCGCTTGCTGCATCACATTTGTAGTTTATGAAAATGTGTCTCGTCTCCTTTTGGAACAAAATAAATGAGGCCTAAAAGTATGGCACGGGCCCCTGCTGCAAACACTCTGAGCTCACACTGACAGCCTCAGCATCACAATGAAGCTGAATTCTCAGTACATGTGCATGTGCTGGTGTGGGAAGCTTACTTTTGCACTGAAAATGAGAAAGTTGACAGACTGAGCAACACAATCAACAATGGAATTATTTTTGTGAATACAAACTAGTTAAGTGAAATGGAATGGTGACTGAGAGGAGATTTGTCCCTGATTCAGAGGCTTGAGAAACACTTGTGACTTCTGGGAGAAAGAATGTTTTAATGGATGCCAAAGGACATGCTGCCGTGATGTCAGTCTTGTTATTTTTTTGTGAAGCATCGATCAGCATTTTTATTGTCAGTCAGTGGAGGTCATAATTGTTTACATTAAATGTTTTCTCGCAGCAGAAAGGGAGACATGCTGAAAACTGAAAAACAGATTATCAACAGCCTTTAGATATCTTCTCAGGTTTCCAGTTGCATGTATTCATTATATTTGATTTTCCTTTAAATTAATGCTTTCTTTTTGTAAACAGGCAACAGCAATGAAGATCTTTTTTAAAGTCAAACACGCCAGTACATTTTTCTCAAGTTATACTATAGTTAAGATTTTCAGTATTTCCACTGTGAGTGCATTGCTTAACAAAGATTTATTTTAAAGTTCAGACTTTGCTTTATCTGTATGGTAAATGTTTGTCTTGTGAAATACATTAAATGTATTACTTGTGTATTGCAAAACTTCTAAACAAGAAGAATGGTAGTTTTAGGTACGACCTTTAATAAAGATGACTTTATTGACAATAATAATGAAAACAAACAGGTCATATGAGGACAGCTGAAATGTTGTCAGTGTCATCATGTCACAATGTATGTTGACTGGTGACTGTGCACCAGTAGCGCCCACAAGCAGAGAAGCTACAGTACAGAGTTTATTTCTGGTAGACAGAATGACAGTATTCCTGTTTATAGGCCTGACAACTATTATAGTATTTAAACAAAACAATAAAACATTCAAGTTACCATCAGTGATGCTGTGATGCCTCAGCTAACCATACCTGATCATTTTGGAGAGCCAGATAACATACTGTTATACCACCAAGACTTGTCCCTCCCTAGCTTGGAACATGCTTTGTTTTATTTGGGCAGTTCCTCAATGATAATCCTGGATACTGAATTCCAGCCTGTAGACGCGTCACCTCTGGGGTAGTCAGCGCAGGTTCCCACCCACACAGCTACGTCCACCAAGCCTGCTTTGATGCCCTCGCACAGCCCTTCAACTGGAGAGAAAATAAAAGAAGGCAAATGGATTTGAGGGAGAGCCAAATCTGCATGCAGAGATGGAAATTGTACACCCTAACCAGGACTTTCCAATACTCGTTTGGAACAGTAGGTTGTCACTGCTTCTGGATTAAACATAGTCCAGCACATAACCACCTTTTAAAACTAGCAGTTATTACTTTTAAGTTATAAAACTGACTTACAAGTTATAGGCTAAAAACAAACTTAATACGTTTAAGAGATGCTGTCGAGCTGATTTTGTTTTTATTTTTGGAAAAAGCAAGGCTAACTTCACATTTGTTGCAGTCTAAATATAAGTTGATAAAGTAACATCTTTCTCTCAGCTATGAAGAAAATACCTATATTGCCTAAAATATTTAAATAATGCTGCTTATTATAACTATGTAGCACTAGGGGAAAGTGTTGGTACACGTTAACTATTGGACAAAAACTACGTTCATACCTGAGGATGTTCTATGGATGTTGATGGTTGAATTGAGCTCAGGACTTCCTTGGTCTAAGTAGATGATTGACTCTATAGGCAGTGGTCCTGTGCATTCTGCTCCATTGAAGGTAAAGTACCACCTCTGGCAGCACGCATTTTTACACTTCAGTCTGAGGGAACCGCTGAAGAGGACTCTGAGGGCGCTGTCTGAGCGCAGCTTAGTGAATGTACAGTCCTGCAACACACCATCCAACAAACGTTGTCACTTCCATGCTTCAAATTTGTATTTTGCATCCTATTGACACCCACAATCTTCAGAAAACTGTACTACACTGTATCAAGATACTTACAGCTACTTTACCCAGGTCGATTCCATAATTCAGAGAGTTCCAGGCACACTGCTTGTAGTTGGGCCTCCAGGGCTCCTCAAAGATCTCGTTAATACACTCTCCTTTCTCACCTTTGACCCCATCACGACCAGGTATGCCTGGCGTACCTGGGATGCCATTGTTTCCTGGATTACCCTCTCTGCCAGGGTTGCCTGCTGGACCCTGCATGCAACTGCCAAACTGGAAAAAAAAACAGGGATTAAGTAAGTAATGAAAGTAGAAAAGGACAACAAAAACATCTGAAGTATTTTGTTATCTATAGTTTCTTGTGTAGGATTTTCTCCCTCTTTCTGTTGGGATAAGTCCCTGTTTGGGCTGCATGCACCACTAACACCTGGTGGCTGTATAAATACAGCTGGGATTCAGACCAAGGAAAAGCGACAGAGTCAGCAACCATGCATGAAAGATTGTGTGTTAATGAGGAACTGAAAGCTTGGTGACAACCTAAATTAGTGGGAGTCTGCTCACACATCCTTCTGTGTGATTCATTGTCCAGCTGAATCTTCTCCTATGTTTAAACAGGTCTTTCTCAAGCTGACTCACAGAAAACACACAAAGACGGCGGCGCTTGCCAAAACTTTCCTACCACATACAGAGATAGAAACAATGGAGATCCAAGATAACTTTGTGTATTCTTTTCTTTGAAAACAGAGATTAGTGTGTCGTTTATCTGTTGAAACTATTTTAGTTAAAGATGTATTTTGATTTGTAGTTATCATATTGTACATATTCCCTGAATACACTACAGACATAAACTGACACGTAAAGTTATTTCCTGGCCTTAAGCAAACAATGATGCCAAAGGATTTCAATCTGTTTTTTTAAGTCTTGTCTGCCCCTTGTTCAGCAGGCAGCTGGGGAGCAGTTAAAGGGCACATGGCCAAAAGGTATTAAGCCAAGAAAAAGTCCCCATGCAAGAGAAGAAACAAAGAGCTATGAATCCAGTTACAACATCTTGTCTCAACTTGAGTCCATAAAGTCTGAAAGTCTAATTTCAGACTAGTCTTAAATATAGGGAGAATTACAGTAATCTTATAGCAGCTGGTTATTGTAACAGATGGTTGAGAGCCTGTTTTAGTCATTAAGTGGCTGAAATGCTGGAGCAACCTCAGATGTGAGGTCATAGTCTCTATAGGAAACTGGGAAGTCTCCTGAGGGTTGGTGCATGTGCTTTAATAGACCTGGAATTTGTCATCAAGAAAAATCGGCCAAGTCTTTGATGCACCTTAGCCTAGAGGAAATTCAGCTAAATCCCTTTGGTTGATATTAAGAAAATAGCTCAGTATTTTATTATGGGTTGGACTTTTGGAGACATTTCAAAGCAAGCTAATGAATCGACCCTCTGTAAACTCAGCTGCACAACTGAATTTTACATTTGCTACCAGTCTGCTTTTCCTATAGTGGAAAAAACTGCCACCATGAATTAAAATCCAGCCCTTCTGACTAGTAGAAGCACACAGTGGGTTACTGTAGCTGAAGCTTAAAGGCTGCATTGGCCACAAAGTGCTGAGGAATCAGTAGCTCTTCATGCATTTTGTCAACACAGAAGCAGGCCTGCAGCTCTCCTGGAGCATGCAGAGTGTGGGTATAATGCTTGGCTTTGAGAGTTGCTTATTTCAGAGGATCTAGAGAGGATACATATAGGATTTTATGATCAGGCCTACCATTTGGTCCGAGTAAGATGATCCTCTTTCTTCAGAGTGTGAAGTGCAGTTTCGCTTTTCTGCATCATTTCCAGTACACTAGATACAGATGTTAACATGACATGCATTTCCATCATACACTTCTGCAATGCTCTTTGTGCTCTGAGGGATTATGGAGAGCTGAGCTATAGTTGTCAAAATAAATATATTTAAAAAAATAAAAAGGGGGAGGGGGGGTAGACGCCAATGGATCCCTCAGAGTCCTAGCAACATAAACAAAAGTTTCACATTAATTTGAATCCCAAGAGATGAAGGAGGGGAATGTGAGCCGGCTTTGTTCCCTTAGGCCTACTCCACCTACAGCAGGCAGCGTGATGTGATTTAAACATAACCAATAGTGTTTTCAATGATTGCTGTTAACTTCAGTGGTTAAACCCTGTTATCCTTCTTTTTCCCGAATTTTCGAAAATATTACACTATTTGCAAAATGAGTAAATCATAACTTATTCAAACTGGAAGGTTAAAAAAAAAAAAAAAAAAAGACAAAGACAGACATGAGCCAGATCCCAACTTCCTTAGGGGGTTTTTCTCTGTCCACAAAACCTGGAATCATAGAGAACCATCTGTAGGCCTACAGAAAAAACCTACTGTTTCTCAGAACCACTCGTTATATAGGCTACAACAAGCGAGCATGTAGTTCATGAATATAATCATCATAATAGTACTTCTCTTTCCTAGAAGATTCTTTGTTTCAGACAGCAAAAAAAGCATGCCAGAAAAATTAAGGGATGAGTTTGAAAATATAACGTGCAAATGTTAATACAGCTGCATTAAGGAAAAATAAAAAGACAATTGAAAACATAGCCTAATTTTATTTTCATGGAAGCCCGTGTGTCGGTGACTTCTGGTTTTAGAAAGCGTCACGTCTTTCCCTGTTAACGTTATCTTGGCTGACTGTCTCTCTTACCTTGTCAGCGTCTGGATCCTTTCGGTATCCTCTATTTCTCACCTTTTCCACGCCATACAGAGGCAACGCCAAGCAGATGAGGAGCAGCAGGCTGGCAACAAGAGGAGACATCGTACCAAAGACAATCGACAACCGGGAGCTCCTTCTGAGGTCTGAAGCAACAGTTTGACTCCAGACAGCGAGAGTGCAGAGGAGGGCAGGGCAGGAAGAAAGGAGCCAGTCAACTTCCAGAAACGAGGAAAAAAAATGTCTGAGCATCCTTAATGATGAACATGTGGGCAGCAAAGGGGTGCATGTGCAACACATTGTCCTTTTTCAATGTGTTTTCTTTAGCTCGTCATAACATAAAGTGTTGGTTAACCACTCAAACTATTTCCATTTATTATTCAATTCTTTTTTTTATTACAAATTCAGTTGGATTGATACAAAACTGAGCTGACAGGAAAGGCAGCGATACAAAAGACATTAAAAACATATCAAAATCGTATAAAGAATCTGGAGGACTTAACTATGTCTACATACTAAACAAAAGGCCCACATCCTGTGTGCAGAATAAGAATATATATGTACATCTAATAAACAGACAGGGATTTCTCTTTAATCAGTGTTACTAGAACAGTCTTGTGATCCCAAATACAAAAGGGTAAGATACTTGAAAGGACAAAAAGTCCTTCATCAGCAGAACAGACAATGCAGCATAAGGGCTGTTGAAGAAATCCCACAAGTTGTTCTGGAAGTATTTGAAGAAAAATGTGTTAGAAATAAGCCCTGAACAAAGTCTAACATGTTAATTTTTGTGTTCATGACTTTTTATACTAAATAGTTGTTTTGCTTCTAATGATAAGTAGTGTAAAGGCATTTTGATTGTAGTAGTTCTTAATTTATTTAAAAATCATAGAAATGTATGCAGAGAAGACAGACTGACATCACATGCAAAACACATGTAGGTTCTTTGAAGCTCTTGGAAGAGGAGGAGCTACTCTAAGGAAGGCATGTTCTTGTAAAAGAAAATGCATAAAGCTATACTTTCTCCTAATTCAACATACACTTCTTTAAGAGACACATTTACACCTGAAGTGAAAGTTCTGTTATTGAAAACAAACATGGTCTACAAACAAACTATATCCACTTTAAGAGCATGTCCTTTTTGCAAAGGATGAGTAGCAACATGAGGTTTAAAGAGAAACCACCGCTCCAGTTTTAACATCAGGACATTAAAAACAATAACAATAACCACAGGTGAAGACTTTCCTTAAGTTGAATATTTGGTAATATCTATTCTTGACCTTAAGTAACATCACTCAGTCCAGTGTAAGATCTAAGTTCTAAAAAAAGGTTTAAAATAAAAATAATAGTATATTTACATAAATAATGCATGTTGACTAGTATGCAACCTATGCCGTTGATCTACAAAACAGTAGTACAAATGTTTTTAATGCACGCTTGCTTGCGTGCATCAGATGTACAGGTGTTTACACAACTGTGCTGTAACATTCAGATAGTCCATAATTAATGAAGAACGCTTTGTAAAACTGAAAGACACAGTTGTCAGCTTTACTTAATGAATCCACATCTTGTGACTGTTATAAAAATACCACATTAAAAATACCCGGGGGTATGCCATCATGCTGGCTAAACATTCAGTGACCATACTCTAACCAATGATCATGATTTAATGTATGGAGCTTTTATGATGTATGACACTAATGTGTATTTTGTTTGAAGAAGACAAATGATCCAGCATCATCTGTGACTGTTGTCCGATTGGGTTCAAGGATGGATGATACATCGTGGAGGTCAGAAGTCTCTGCAGCTGCTGTCCTTTTCCACCTTGCTCTCCTCTGGTGCCTGATGCACTGGCTGGTGAGTGGTGTCCTGGATGTCGCTGCTCTGTGATAGGCTTAAAGCTGGATGCTGTGGTACACTTGGGATCGGCCTGACCTCTGACAGCTCGTTCCTTGGAGTCATCCTAACCAGCCAGGGCACATAAGAGATTACTGATGGTTATACCACATGCAGTTTTGTTTTAGTTTCATGTCTCTTATATTAACATGTAAAATACCACACTTAGTTTTAGTCTTGCATCCGTGCTGTAAAGAAATAAATAATATGAAGCACACAAGAATTCAAGCTAACATATTTCGCATCAGTCTCACTCACCTCCCATCTGTGACTCTGTGCATGCTCTCTGAGCGGCTGCTGATCTTACTGGAGCTCCCCCCCTTGCTACGTCTCTCTCCCCTCTCCCTGTCTCTCTCTCGATCTCTCGATCTCTCCCCCCTCCTGGAGCTCCTGCTGGGGGTGCCCCTGTCTAGGTGCTCCCTGTTTAAGGCCTCCGACAGAGAGCCTTGCATATGGGGGTCGTGATTGCCCAGCACAGAGGTTCCTTGATTGGTTGTGGCGGGGGCAGTGGAAACCTTGGCGGGGGCAGAACCAGTGCTCGTGCCCATTGACTTTGAGATAACCTTCAGCTTGTGGGAGTTTGGCTTGTAGTGTTTCTTCTTGTGCTGGACGCGGTTGTTGTGCTTGAGGAAGAACTCGCAGGACTCCTGGAGCACCCTTCTGCTCTCACTGATAGGACTGTTGGTCAGAAAACATGAGAGTATAGTCACATTCTTTTATTTCTCATGTCACCTGAACATGTTACAGGAGAAGAGATGCGGTCTTACTCTCTCTTTCGGGTCCTATTAAAGAAGTAAGCCCACTCAGAGCAGGTCTTTTTGCTGCTGACCCAGAACACCGCAGATATTCCAACCACCAGTGTCATGAGATATTTCACCAGGAACAGGGAGAGGTCAGGACGTTCAAGCTCTGTTGTCTAAAACATAGAGACGTGTACAAATCAAGATAGACTTTTAGTAGTTAGTTGAAGTGCAAAACTAAACAAATGATGAGAAAAAATTGCTTCAGATGCTTCATCACTTTTAGATTCAGATTCTCACAATTAACAAATGACGAGCTAGTTTTGCTCCTTTCTTTAACATAGTTAAGTATGCTTAAGCATTTTGCAAGCTTTGAATGTGCACCTACATCACCTTGTTCATTTTGTACACATACAATATACGTAAACTCGAACATTAACTCAGTGTTCTCTATTAATAAGAAAATAACAAACTGCACCAATCAAGTAAAGACACACAACAAAGTCCAGTAGATAGTAAGGGGGCGCCAGTAGCCTGTGGTTAGTTGCGCCCCCAATGTACAGAGGCTAAAGAGCTCCTGTGAGGAAGACAAAAAGACTCCAGGTCTCATTTTTACCAAGTGCAATTAATATGTTAAACAACAATTAGCTATGGCTAATTGAGTAGCTGTGGCTCCTTTCCTGCATGTCATTCCTCACTCTCTCAGATGATTTCTGAATCTATCAACTGTCCTATCGCACAATAAAGGCAGAAAAAGTCAAAAAACAAACCTTAAAAAATATATTTCCTATGAATACTTTGATCTTAACTTGTCTGTAGCCAAATCACCTCCAAGAAATAAATGAGCCACAGCTACCTTATAGGAGCAGGGGATGCTGTACTCCTGACAGCGGTCATTGATCCACGTATTCTCCCAGGTGCTGCGGTGACTCTGCTCATAGGTGTAGCAGGCTAACAGCGTGACCAGTGGTACCAGGTAGAGGCAGCTGAATATGCCGATTCGGATCATGAACTTCTTCAGCTTCTCTTGGTTGCGCTCATCATGCTGGATGACCTGCCGGACGTTGTTTAGGGAAACGATGCCCGCCAGGATGAGAAAGAGGCCGACTGCGACACCCACACACAGAGGAGCCAGAACAAAGTAGCGCAAAGCATCCAGATCATAGAGCCCCACAAAGCAGACTCCACTGATGTTGTCCCCTTCAACCTTGTTCATAGCCAGCAGCATGACAGTTAGCGCTCCAGGGATCCCCCAGGCAGCAGAGTGGAACCACACCTAAAGACAGAGGAAACATAGGTTCACATTTTCCAAATATGTCTCCCATTTTTCCACATTTCATTGTTATAGCTTGAATTTGCACATTTTAAATATAGAGCTATGTCTATTTTACACATCTTTACATTTTTCTCTTTCTATCTCTGCCTCTGATACAAACAATCTGTAGTTCTTCAAATCTTCAAACATTACCGCTTTTTTCTCGATGGCCTCACAGCTCCACTTGGGTCCGGCTGCTAGGAACCAGGTGATGGTGAGTATTACCCACCACACGATTCCAGCAATGGAGAAGAAGTAGAGCAGCATAAAAAGCAGAGTGCAGCCTCTGCTCTGAGAGCCCAGCACTACTGTATCCACTCCACTAGGGTGTGCTGCTTTGGTGCAGGCTGCATTGTTCCCAAGCAGGAAACCAATGAAGTATATGAGGGAAACAAAGCTGTAGCAGACAGCATAAAAGATGATTGGGCGCTCTGGGTAGCGGAATCGTTTAACATCAATGAGGAAAGTGAAGAAAGTGAAGAGTGTGGCGCCCAAGCAGATGATGGAGCATATACCGATGAAGCTCTTTGCAAATTCAATGTCATGGGGTTTGAAGTACATGTTGGAGCAGGGAGGAGAACAGTCCTGGGCACCCAGGAAAGATGATCCTTGACCCGGCTTGGTCTTCAGCTGCAGTGGACACCAGAAGCCAAGGTCCCTCTTAGCTGATGAGGAGCTAGTCGGGGTGGTTGCAGAAAGTTCTAAACCATCTGGAAAGCCACATGACTCCAACCTGGTGAAACAAAAATCAAATTCTGTATTCAACTTATTGAGAACCAGAGGTGTTGCTTCAGTTGATTTTCTGTAATGGCTTTTTTCTTACTTGTCACACTGTAGCTCAGGAGGCCAGGTGATACCAAAGATTCTTATATTCTCCTCGCAGTCAGAGAGAACAGTCTCGCACTGCTCTTTGCATGGGCTGATCACCTGGTTCTCCTCGGTGCATTGTGGGATAAACGCTTGGCAAAGGAAGTGATGGACATCTGGAGAGCAGCGCAGGTTTGCCAGGGGCATGAACGGCTGGAGAAAAATGTTACATCAAAACAGAGAAAATGAAAGGCTGTTTGAAATTGCATGCTTGAACTTATCAAAAAACAAGTTAAAAATGGACTTGCTCAAAATGTTCTAACTAGGTCCATGGTAGAAAAGTAAATAATTGATCATTTGGAGCTGACAGTAGCAATATGGCTAGATGATGAAAATACCGCTGCAACCCACTTGTGTAAAACATTGACTTTTTCCCATTTATATCCCATTGGCCACCTTATGGGAATAAATAACTTAAAATATGATGTTCTGAGATGGATAGTTGTAAAATGATAGACGGAGGTTACATATATCAGTACCTGGCAGGCTGTACAGTGTTGCTGAAGAATTATTGCATGGTCTTGCAGAGCATTGCATTTCACTGCCCATGTGTATGGGCATGTGACAAATACAAATGTTCAATCTTTTTTTATTATTATTCCATCTTCTGCTGTATTCAGACATAAACATACACCCCTACTTCACTTGGAACTTTTCCTGCCAGCCCCAAAGTAACATGTCTGTGTGAAGTCAGGGTGAGCTCATATGTTACCGCATCAGGTAAAAATCAGGAAAATGTAATGGCATGATTAGGTGATGATGACGTATACGTCACATGACTAGTGATCAACCGATGCTGTTGTCATGCAGTACTAAAGGAGCTGTAACGTTGCCACACTTTCATTGATACTGTGGATTCATCCAATAACACAGACTACTGATATAAAGGCAAAAACTGCCATTTAGCTCCTGACTCTGCTCCTGACTCTGCCTCCTGAGACCCCTCCCCCCTCCTGTCCAACAGAGACAACTTCACGCTGTGAGAGACATATGTGAATAACAACTTTGGGAAATTCTGGCCTTTCCTGAAATGTTCAGTACTGCATATGTGAAAACATGTTTTGCTTTATCATTTGAAGCTGTTCGTGTTAACCGCTGAAAAAAAAGACTTAGGTTGACATGGTAATTCTAGATATACAATGTGTTCTAATGCTTTTTGGTAAGGGGTAACAAATCCAAAACAATGGGAATCACTGCCCTTATAAAGTATTAACTTCATCTTGTTATTCTGCAGAGATCTAGGGAGCCACACAAAGGAGTCCATTCAACAGCTGGGAATCACGGCCTTCCGTTTCAACACACTGGTGAAGGGCTTGAGGACTGAGAGGTGGGGGGCGGGTGTGGTGTAGGTGGCAGGAAATGAGTGCACAGTCAACAGGCCAGTAAAGCTGGAATGCACAAGGTTGTTGAGTTTTTTTTTTATAGATATAAATTTGACAACAGCACAGATATACCAATGACACAGCGAACACGATATACAACTTCATTCCAGTTAAAAATGTCAAGATCTAAATGCTTCTACTTACTCAGGAGGTTTTTCACTCTGAACTACACCAACACAATGTGGAACATTTCAAGAGTATTGGGAGACTTTGTTTAAACTGCATAGACTGTTATCATACTGAAACAAATAGATTTTAAAGCCATTAAAAAATGGAATAGTCTTCCAACTAGTCTTAAACTTTGTACAAACCTCTGCACTTTCACCCGGGAAGTCAAAAAATGGATTTTAAGTAACCAGTCTTGTCAGCATTAATGTGTCATCTCGACAACCTTTTAGATCTCTCAGGGGAACTTGTACATAATGTTTTAATATCTGTGAATTGTTCTATGTCTTTCTTCTCTCTTATGAAATGCGTGCGTGTGCGTGTGTGTGTGTGTGTGTGTGCGTGTGACTGGTTGATTTGTATTTTGCTGTTGCCATCATCTGCCCAGGGACAACAGATGGAAATTAGCTAGCTAGCTAAATCTGGTACAAAGCATCTCTTCTCTTCTGAGACTAATGTTTTTTTTGTTTACTGTCCCTGATTCAAATAAATGATTAAACTAAACTCTTTTCTGCAAATATTTAGAGACAAAAAACACACACACACTACAACACAGTCCACTATTCAAGGTTTCCTCTTTTTTTATCTCCTGAAATCCAGTCTGGCAGTAGGCCCGTGTCTCTTGGGCCTGGGTTGACAGTAAGCGTCCTTGTTTCTCTCCTCTGGAGGTCCTGGACTCCTTCTCAATGAGCTCCCCATTACTCAACAATCTGACCTTTATCTGGTTTATGCTAGAGTTACTGTGAAAACTGCCCTGGTTTTAGAAACTTCAACCAGAATCATGGTAGAAGTTTAGCTGATTTGCTCCTAGGAGTAAAATCCTCTGCAGTGTATTCACTGGCAAAGCTTTTCAATTAACAAATCAAATAAAAGGTCAGAATATAATTTAGAAACTTTTACCAAAACGTTATGACTTCAAATGTTCTCTGTCCATTGCATTACATCAAAAGGTCTTTGCAGTCTCTTTGTATTCTATCACGTCAAACCTCTCTTTTTCAAAAGCTGGCATACTTGTGGAATCTGGGACTAGGGTTAGCCCTCGTCCGGAAAATCCTACTGATAGGCCTGACTGAGCCCATGCTAGAAGAAGTGGGCTTGAATACAGCATCATGGCTTTTAGATATACCATAGCACACTTTCTAAGACAGCTATGTGATGTTGAGTACAGGCCAGAGAGTGTAATCCTGTCACCTGGGAGACAGTGTACAGGGGGGACAATGAGTGAGTGATTAACAGAGAATACTCTCATTGTGGTATGCTGGGTGACTTTGCGTGAGACTAGGTGTGTCCCCCCCCCTTCCTCCAGAAATCAAAGGCCCTTCACAACAAAGTCGATAAAGTTGCCTGTGGTAAAGTTTACTGTGAAATAAAAGGCTGATACCTGCTAGCCTGCTACCTTTGCCAGATGCCACACAAAGGACTCCCTCAACACATCACTGTTCATTCTCAATGCTCTGACACCAAATGTGTGTAACCCAAACCCTGGCTTTCAGGAATGCCAAGACATATTGCAAAAACTAGAGAACCCGAGTTCCCTGCTGAGATGAGATACAAGACAAAAATTAGCTGGAATGCATGTTGAAAATCAAGCGTAATGTAGAAAGTGATATCTGGAGAGATTGTCACTAAGATTTGATGTAACCTGTTTAGCATTGCTAAATGCTGATACATGAATTATCCTACATTTCTTTTTTTAGTAAGAAAGTAGACATTTTTAAAGAGGTTTAAACATAATTGTTCTATTCATTAGTTCAAACGGTGTCTAAATGTTGTGATGGGGTGGGCATCCCATTACAGCTGTTGAGTGACGTGTAAGTGCTGCCATTGCAATCACTGACTGGAATTGATACAATATATTTTGCCCTTTTTAACAGGCAGTGTAGGGATGCATATCATAAGCAATTGAAGACGTTAGCCTCCTTTCTATATTTAATACCAACCCATCATGTTTGCAGTCTATTCAGAAAGTTAAAGCTAATAAGTCTTACTTCTTGGTCACGATATTCATATATCATATGCTAGGCAATATATAGAATTTTTTTGATATCTATATATTTTCAAACAAGATATAGGGCTAGACAACATTGTTGATGATGAGCATCAAAAAGTTATTATAGTTCAATCAAAAAGCTCATCAGCAGGCAGACAGAAAATGAAATGAATAAACTGGAGCCACTAATAGCACTTATCAAAGCAATTCTTTTGAGATGATAATCATCTACTTCAAATGTGACCTGAATTACTAGTTTTATTTTAAATCAGAGATTTCTTTACTAGGACAATATGATTAAAAATCTCCAAGGAAACCCAGATTTATGAGAATTTTTTGGAAGGACAGGCAGCTGGGAAATCCCTCAAAAATGATTTTGCCTATATTCCATGAATCATATTGGACAGCTTTATAGCTTTCTTCCAGTTCAGCATTTAAGATCAATACAACATGTTGGGACAGCCATTAAAACTTAAAGATATGTTGGTTTTATCCATATTTAGCAAGGCTTGGTATATAGCCATTAACTGTTCTGACTCACAGAATCACTTGTATTGATTGGCTAAAAGGCAGAAATTTATATTTTACACATCAAGCCTTATAAATAAGTTTACCTAGAAAAATAACAAGTGTTTAAAAAGTTGCTTCATATTTTACTGACTGATTCATCTGCTTAGCAGCAAGCCAGCAAGAATATGTGCAAGTTAAAAGGGGATACTGATATATAATAATGTCTCCAACATTATGAGAGCTCACCTCCATCTTACTGGCTGCCATATCCTGGTCGTAGTGCTCCATCATGTTGGGAAAGAAGGTCATGTTGTAGGGCATCCCCAGGCAGCGAAACACATTGATGGGCTCACAGGTAAACAAGCTGTGGGCACTGGAGCCCACCGCCCATATCAAAGTCAGGCAGGCCCACAGTGGTCCTGGCATCAACATTGCAGCGGCCGATTGGGAAGGAATGTGCGTGAGTGAATCCAAGTAGAACAGGTTTCTTTTTGGCTCACTGTGCGGATATTTTGGTCAAAGCTTTGAATTCCCCGAGCTCACAATGTCATCTACAGTTCATTTCTCCTGGGGTCATCTTAGTAGACCCATTGGGCGCTGGAGAAAGTAGAATTTTCCCATCATTCTCCAGGAAGGATAGGAAACCCACAGCTCTGCGAATAAAGAATTCAAATTGAAATAGGTTTATTCTTTCTGCTTTACAACAACTCCTTTTTCACTAATTGATATTTTCGACATTACTGTATTTAAAACTAAATTGCAAATGCAGACTGAAGCCCTAACATCAAAGCAATTAATTACAACCCTATTTGTAAGACAGCGGGAAGATAAAAGCTAATCAAATTGATAGTTAAGTTATTCTAGGCACCTTTACAGTTCCCTAGAGGCCTCAGGAATTCAGTTGAGAGGTTCTGTTTTGTATCAGTATAACAAAATGAAGGGACCAACATTCAACAAATCCTAGTACAGACTTGAAGTGCATGTATTACAGAGGGTGGAGAATGCTAAATATCCAGGATGTTTCACTATGAGTCTGAGCTTGCTGATGAACATAAAGTTGTCAGTTTCTAATGCACTCATTGGCATGTATAATGCTAGCCCTATGAATATGCTGTATGTGCAGGACTCATTCATGACATGTCATTTTCAGTATACTAGCATACAATGTGTGTATAATGTTAAAAGAGTAAAAGGAGTTGTTGACTTTCTAAAGATGATACTGTAGGCTACTATTTTTTTTGTCTACGAATGATAAGAGTTCACCTAACTTTACCAAATCAATGTTCAAAGTCGCTCAAGTAACAACCTTCAACAAAGTAGCTTTTAGTTCCTACAGCTAAACAAGTGTATAATAACAAGGGAGTCCTATTTGATTACTAGCATTAACTTTTGGGTTAGCATTTAAGCAATGATTTAAAAACGTAAGCTAAGTATTGACACGAACCATCAACAGTTTCCATGTAGCAAACAGACATGAACATGTGTTACATCTTTAATACATTTCTATACGTAGTATTTGCCGTCGGTATTCCCGATAATGCTAACTTCTAATAATAGTTCGTCAATCTGAAGGCAGCAATGCTGTTTTACCGTGAATGAGTTGCCAAACGCGGGGAGAGAGTGCAGTAAATATCCCTGCTCTGGTCACTGCCATTATGGGACGGGGGCCCGGAACAACTTCGGTAAGGAAAGTTAAATGCACAACTTTAAGGGTAAAAATACGAAACACAAACACTTACCCTAACTTCCAAGTTGTTTGTGTAAAAGTTGACTACAAGGACAAACGAGCCTCCATATTTCCGTAGGGAATCTGGAAGCGTGTTTCCTGCGATAAACTCAACACAGTTCCTTCGTCTTTTTCAGCCTGGTCGCTGTGTAGTGAAGATGCCTTCAAGTGCAGTTGGAAATGTTCTCATGCATGAACGGCAGTGAGCCATGATTTATTTTACAGCCATGCATAAAACAGCTCTGCAAAAAAAAAAAAAAAAACCCAGCTCTGGTAGAAATTGATGAATATATATATTGTGTAGGTTAAGTTGTGTTTAATAGACCTTCCACACTTTGAAACGTAGAATAGTGTCAACTACATACTAGCCTAATTATAGTGACGGGGAGTACTTAAATGCAGCATGAGACTGTGGGGCAGATGCGGGGCAGATGAAGGGGGACACTATCCCAGACCAAACGTAGACCGAACATAAACTTCTTCATATTTTACATTGCGTGCAGGCTAATTTTTTTTCCATGAAAAGATGAGCGGATACGTGTGGAGTAATGTATCTAGCTTTAAGGGAGACAAACCTATTTAAAAAATGCCTAGACAAAATGAAGAAACACAATTACATTCATACTTAAGTGTCATTGTATCAGTCTTAATCACGTAGCACGGTGTTAAATACCGGTTAGGCAGACTGTGTCTATTTTCTGGACATCCCTTTACGACTCTGAGGACCCCTGGTGTTTCTACAGGCGTCTTTCACATACAATGCCGTTTCCCAATTATCCACATGGAGGCGCTGTATCCCCTCTATGTCAATATTCATGTGACCACGGTGGAGAGGCGGGGTTACAATGTAACAATTTAGGTGCTACTGTGTGACCAACAAAGTGTCCGTGAGCTCTGAGCACATCTGTGTGCCGTAGCGCTCCTCTTGTCTCTCGTCGATGTAGACTGTTAGACACCCACCTCGGACATCAAATGAGAATTGTAACGAAGACGCCGCAAGTGGGGACGGGACCGACTCACAACACATTCATATGAGGTGCGTGAGCCTGTTACAAATTGAGAAAGGAGAGAGGTAAATGCGGTAAATTCGTGCAAAACCGTAAATAGCTCTAAATTGAATTAGGAGTGGATTATGTGAGTGCGCACTGTGATGGATGCAACAGGATTATTCTGCTCGTACGGAGGAGGTGGCTCCGTCCTCATAGTTTATGGACCGAGGCGCTGGCCTGTTGCTAGGAGACCTTTTGACAGCCGGGAGCTTTTGGAAAGTGACAGTTAATGCACTAATGGTGACTGCTGATTCGGCAACCCAAGCCTTCCTCCTTCTCTCTTTAGTTTCTTGCGAGCTGTTTGAGGGTAAAAGAAAATATTCACAACGGTGTTTTTGTTTTTAGTCAGGAGATTATAGTGTTTTAAAGGGAACAATAGCCCACTTGATACGATTATGAACCTAAATATATCGTCCTTTCAGATATGTTTGATATTTTCTGAGGCCAGAACGATGTCACAAGGAAATGTTGTTGCATTTTTGAAAATTCGCTAGCTTTAGGGACAACTTCATAAACTAGCCTACCTATGTTCAGGATTCATTTGAAAACAAAGACAACAACCATCATGATCAACAAATATCCTACCCTAGATTAGATCCGGATCTGCACGTCTGATTCGATTTAGGCTACAATTTCATGATTTTCATTATCTACAGCCTACCTTAAACCAAATCATTCCAAAGCATAGATGAAGGGCATGTGTGACTCTGTTTTGGGGTTGGACTTTACAGAATAAGCTCTCTTCCTCCCTCATCCTTCAGCAGCAGTCGCCAGTGGCCATGCATCTGAAGGTCACTGGAACAGATCAATAACTAGATCTCACTGGGACTTCACTCAAGAGCAGCTAGTGGTGCACTCAGTCCTGTCTACTCTTAAGGTGAATCACACATTTATGTAGACTTCCTTCTATGAGGTAGCCAAGAGCACCTGAGGCGACTTACTGTACATTCGAGTGTATAGTATTTGAATCAGAGAATACAAAGCAGCTTGAGTTTCACAGTGCATCCTTGCTGACCTCTGTGTCCCTCTTGTTCAGCTGGGTATTATCTAGCAGGAGACTGAGGGATATCACATTCAGGTGTGTCGCACATTATGTCAAGGTTGTAGCTACACCAGAGGGACTTAATGTAATTTGGACTCACAGCTTGTCTTGAGAATTGCTGAGCTTGTTGAGTCCCTTCTTTGTAGTCTAGCTGCCTGTGGCTGTCACCCGCGCTGTGTTGTATATGAAAGGGCCTTGAGAGAACAAACATTGCCAGAGTCAAAAGCAGTGTTGCTGAGAGAAGGGAGAAGTCAGCATTAAGCTTGACGTGTGGTTGCATCCCTTCACACATCGCGCAGGAGGCTGTCACAGTGTGACTGGGTCCAGGGGATGGACTGAGTAAAGCTGACATGCTGCTCTGTCCTATTAGGCGGATGTATGTTACCAGTGAGGAGACTACAATCCTCAGGAGCCACATAGCATCCCCGACCACCTCCTCTACCATCTCCTCTTCCTTTGTACAGGGGCATGCCTTCTGAACCCAGCCTCAGGTAAGTGGCAAGGTCCTTCAGTATATACTTTACACATGCACGCTCTAGGCTCATGGCACAAACAGTTTAAAATCAGTAGCAACTGCGGAGATATGTACTGAGTATTTCAGTAAATGTGGACAAAGAACCTTGTTTATATTCTAGAGGAATGTCCTTGAAGATCAATGTGTTGCTGAATAATGGTGTTTCTAGTGTGCAGACTTCATTAGCTCTCTATTATTATTAGTCTTTTGACTAATAACAATACCTTAGACAAAGGCAAAATCACTTAAATTAGGAAATCTTTATTATTGATGAAAAGGGAATCTCTAACCTTATTGGCTTATAATTAGTCAAAAATACGTTTAGGTAGGGAGTGGGACCAATGCTGCTGTAAGGTAATTAAAAACAGTCCCATTATGTCTTTTGTGGCTCTAAAACCCTTTATTATGACTCAGATCAATAACCTGATGTGGTATAGTCTTATAATTTGATTTTGGTGATCATAATTTCTGAAGTGCACAAACTATATAAATTATCTCAAAAAGACCTTGGCATGGAGAGTCTGGAAAACGACATATGTGGATCAACCAGTTTCTTATGTGCAATCTCTGCTGTTTTCCTAAAATTGTGCATCACAGAGTCTGCAGCTTTAATCTGATGAAAGATAAGATATTAGCATTGTAATGTTTTTCTTTATTAGTAAGTGCATCAAAGGCTTCTGAAATCCTCAAATCACTAACTTTGTGAAATACTTGAAATGTGAAATTCTGTCATTTCCCCTCCCTGCCTTGCTCTTCCCTCTGGAAGAGTCCAACAACCAAAAAACAGCCTGACTCATCTTTCTTATAGCACCTCTGGCCAGCAGCACACACGTACCCACCTACACACACACACACACACACACACATTATTCCCTCTGTTTTACAACCCGTCACCATGAAGGTGACAGAGCAAACCTCCTGGCAGACAGCAGCATTTAGACAGACTGTCGGGACTTAAGTGGACAGAGATGGATTTAGATGGACAGGGTGGCAGACTGCTGATGGATGGGTACATGCACAGAGGGACTATAAGGAGGGGCTTAGAAATATTAGGGTATATTTGGTGCTACAAGGATACACAGCACATAGTGAGTCAGCCACTCAGACCATCAGTCAGATATGTTCTGTAGTCATGTATTTGTCTCACCATAATAAACAGACGTATGTTCTTTTTAAGCTTTTTAGGAATGAATACTTGTGTCATAAATTCATTGTCATCTTGACTAAAAAAGGAAATCTCTTTGTTTTTTTGTTTTTTTTTTGGGGGGGGCTTTTTATCCCTTTATTAGGGATACAGTGTTAGAAATCAGGAAGAGAAAGCTTGGGGAATGACATGGGGAAAAGAAGCCACAGGTTGTATTTGAACATGCGCTGCCCGCTTCGAGGACTCCAGCCTCAGCACATGGGGAACGCAAACTAACCACTAGGCCACAGGTGCCCTGATTAAATTACTTATAACTTGCAATGACTTGTCTACTTACAGGAGCAAGAATTGAAAGCTCTACTATGCTCCGCTTTCAACCAGCAGATGCATGTGAACATTTTGCCTTTGACTAATGCTAATGTAGGCTCTGAACAGATGTAATGTTTACGATGTTGATCATCTTAGATTCTCCTGTTGGCAGGCTAATGTTTGCTAATTAGCACCAAACTTAAGTCAAAGTTATGAAACTAATCAGATTAGCATTTATTCTATCAGTGCCTTCAGGGGCGGCTGTGGCTCAGTTGGTAGAGTCGGTCATCTCTCAACTGGAAGGTCAGGGGTTTGATCCGCTTGTAAAAATCTGAGGTCTACTGTGATTTTGCTGCTGAAATGGCAAAAAATAATGAAGATTAACTTTCCAAATGTAGAGTGATTAGTAAAAAGCCTACCAGCCTCTGGGAAGATGTCTAAACCCAAGAAATATTTAAGGATTAAACGATCAGCAGGCTTTAAGTTTCAGTGGCGGGCATTATCAACATATAAAACTGATAAAGTATGCCAAATATTTCACCTTAACATTGCCGTGAACATACAAGCCTTGAAAATAGCTCTGTGATTCATTGTATCAAGAAATGATTGAGAAGGAAATCGAGGACACTGCAAACATATGACCTTGCACACCCACATCTGTATGTTGCTGCTGCAAGTGTGGCTAAACATAGAGTGGATTTTATATATGATGCATTGTCAGAGAGGTCTCACTGAATCATTATAAAACTTATTTGTCAAAGTTGTTGCTAGAAAAGAGGGATTTGAATTTGAAAGAGTCAAACAACATAACCTATGTGTATGCTTTGTGTGTGTGTGTGTGTTGCAGTAGGGAGATGCTGACAGGACAGAGGCTCTGTCAGTCAAAGTCCCACCAGGACTCGGTCCTCTCTGCCCTCAATCAGCAGAGGAAGGATGGTTTACTGTGTGACGTCACCCTGGTCGCTGGTGAGCAGAAGTTTCATGCCCACAAAGCCGTCCTGGCAGCATGCAGTGATTACTTTAGGGTGAGTCCTGGACCATATTACATGCACAAATATAGTACTATTTTTTTTTTAATGACAAATTTGTATCAG